TGTAAGATTTGAGGTTTTCACAGCGGTGAGTATGAAGATTTTTGTCTTCTGGGTTGTTGTGCTGTCTAGTCTGGTCGATGTTTACCAACGTTTCAGAAGTCATCCTGATGACGGAGGCAGTATGACCTCTGAAACGTTGGTAAACACCTACCATACTACACGGTACAACAACCTAGATGACAGAAATTTTCAGAGTGAAAACTCATATAATTTATCTGCCCAAGGAAATTTAGGCCAGGCGACTGAAGACAGCTCAAAACTTACTCCATAGCAAAGCTAGCAACGTGGTAGAATCTCGTGGAGGCTGAGTAGAAATCCTTCCACGGTCTTTTATCATGTAGTTTGGCGATGGTTACCATAAGCCTAATCATCCAGAGCTCTTGATAGTTAGGACTGACTGTTGCAAAACTTATTAGACCCAGTTGGTCTCTCCATTTCTTTTTTCATTTCCTTTCCTTCAGTTCTTCCTACTTAATGACGCATTTTATTCTCGTCTCCCCCCATTCGCACTACATGCCACGCCCACTTCGTTCTATTTGACTTGATCATACCAATAATGTTTACTGAAGGGTACAAATTATGAAGCTACTCATTATGTAATTATAGTTACGTGTTTGTCACTCCACCAAACTTAACACGAAATATTTTCTCAAACGCCCTCAATCGGTTTTCTTACATTAGAGCAAGAGGCTGAGTTGCTTTCAGTCTAATCCTTGAATTAATGTGATATTTCAAATGACCTTTCGGTAAAAGCTGGGATTACTGACAACAGAACTTTGCTCCTCAGGACGGAAGAAAGCCCCCAAGTCTGCTGCAGATTGCAAGATGTCTTCCCTATGTAAACAGGCCAGTCTTAGTCTTGTAGCGTCTCGTTAATCCTCCTGACAGCAGGATTTCCCTTGGGATCTTGTGGTCTCGTGAACAAGGGTCAACTCACAGATTGAGCGCTATTGAGACAAGGAAAAACCGATGTGATACAGAAGGCGAACTGACGAAGAAAAATTGGACCCAGACAGACGTTCATCGCGTCTTTACAACAAGAATTCATTTGTGCTCAGACTACGTAGTGTTCACTTATGGGATAATATGTAATATCAATATGGAAGGAATTGGTCGTCACCTAATTCACGGTACTGTCTCGGAATTTAACTGGAGGGAAATATCTCAGGACGAGATTTTCTTCCTGGAGTTTTCCGAAGATGTAAGGTGTGTGGGGGAGGGGGAGGGGGGTTACTAACGAGGTTGAGAATTTCGGTGAGTTTCAGTTACGAACCCGTGACGTTTAAACTATTTTTATATATTAATTTTAAATAAAATATTCATCTTTTCAATTAATAAAAAGACTTTCTGAGAAATGAAGACTAATATAATGACGGTTGTATTCTGCGTTGATGCACCGTTTAGGCTGGTAGTTCCGAGGTCCATGCTGCCTCCATCATCAGGGATAACAGAAATCTCAGGAGTACTCCTGATTTTCTTCATTCGCGTCAGTGTGTAAGCCGTGGTGACGTAGCAATCAATTTCTGCGTACAATTTCCACTAGTACGCATTACGGAAAAACTTCTAATTATTCATGTTTTTTTCCATCTAATCACAATTGTATATAAATAAAATTATACATAAGATATTAAAATATCATTTACATATTCGGTACAAATAAATAAATATGTAAATGATATTTTAATATTTTATGTATAATTTTATTTATATACAATTGTGATTAGACGGAAAAAAACACGAATAATTAAATTTTAATTCGCAATATGATGCAATTATATCAAATTAGGAAAAACTTCTTTAAACTTTGTTTTATTAAACTAACGAAAGGCACAAAATCGTCTACTACATAAGTGTATCTCATGTATTTACAGGCTGGGGATAATTCATTCGACATTTTTAATGACACTAATCCACCACATTTTATCCAAATTTATTTAGAGTAATGTAAATTTATAGACAAATATTTACCATTATTTAAAAGCATCATAACAATGTTACATCTTTAAAAAAAACACCCGTTATATGTTCGTCAAGATTGATGGACTCGATGTATGAGATTTTTCATTACGCGTAGTAACATCGTGGAAGAATTGGAATTAAGTTCTTCTTAATTTTTCTATGAAAGATTATTTAAGAAACACTTACTCAAATGGTCATAAAAAAATATATCACAAGCCGAATTCGGGTGATCGGGCTCGCCAAGAAATTTCGCCATAACAGAAAATTATTCCGCGTTCATACTTTGTCCTTCAAGTGTTCGTCGAATTCCGAGCAGTAAATTTCTTCAGAAATGAACCTCACATTACCGGCCGTGTTATTGCACGTTATGAATCGAGTTCGTCGGTACATCTGGCTTAATGGACGACATATGACAGGTGATATTTTTAAGACGTAACTTCGTTTCAATGCTTTTCATTTGGAATGATATTTGCAGTGTAATATTCATGAAAGGTTACTTAAAAACGTTTTCACTTCCTTCATAAATAAGACAGGACAGATGGGGACATTGCAATGATAACACATTAACCCAATTATATCTTATAAGATAATAAAAGTATGCTAAGAATTACGTAACTTGTTCTAACCTTTACGCTTTCCTTCTGTATTTTAAAAATTGGAGATTCAAAAGTATAAAATCATCATTTTGTTAACCTTATATGGACGTAGAACGTTGTATCTCAGATTAATACGAGAACAGAAAATAAGATGCACTGAGAGCAAAATTATGATGAAAATGTCCGTCCGTGGCAGAGGCTGGAGGAAATCTTATTATGGGCCTCAACATTTGTATTCCGCTAACATTAGGGTAATCAGATCGATGAAGATGGTATGATGGAGCACGTAGGATGCATGTGTTATATAAAAATGAACACAAAATTTCAAATGGAAAACCTGAAAGGAACAGCCTATTTGGAGCTCCTATGAGTATGTGAGACGATAAGATTTAAAATGATAAAAGATGCCAGGTGTGGTTTGTCCCTCTGACATTGTTTTCATAAAACCTACGTTGAAGTGATCCTTCATAGATCTTCCGAGTTGTCTCTTCCTTTCGAGCTTTTTAATCATATGTTTAACGCATTTCTTAAATCTTCACCCCGCTGAGTCAAAATATTCTCCTAATATCCCCGTTCTCAACACCTTCAATCTGTGTTTCTTCCCTCAACATGGAGGACCAAATTTCATGTCCATAAACGACAACAGGTAAATTAAGAATTTTGTATGTTTTTATATCCACGTTGTTCAGGTAGAATACGGGAAGGCAAAAAAATTCTAAATTGCAATTTATTTCCCAAAATTTTCTGTTTTTAATTTCTTCTCTAGTGCATGTATAATTTTTAATCATCGCCCCTAAATAGTTTAACATTACGCGAAAATACAGGTCGCTGAAAGCTATAAAGAAAAATCCGCTTATATTCATGGACAGACAAAGAACCACAGTCATTACGAGGGACCTTCGGGAAGAGATTCGAATCCGAGATTCATTAGTACGAGCGCTAATACCACAAAGTTTGGTCGACCACGGTTCATGTGACCTTTTCTGAAGCCACTTCTTAGCGAAAGCTAACACTAACGTCGTAGTACCACGGCGTTATTAAAGAGTGGAAGATATAAACCATTGCCCTGCGAGATGACAACATCATGTTACCATCAGCCCATAAGTAAGAAAATCTGCCAAAAAAATTGCAAATGTTACTTCTAGATTACTAGAAATACCAGAGATAAATTGAAGTAACATTGGCATTTCATTAGTTAAAATAGTAACGTAAACAAATTATCTGCATGCGTGTGAAACTCCTCTCATGTGTGAATAATTATTATAAAATTTAATAGCTAAGTTACAAATCAGATGATAATAAGTAGACATTTCTTTCCTGTAATATCACAAAAATAAATCAGTTTATGTCAACTTGATGCTTGTGAGACTTAAAACTTATTTTTTACTGTGTTCATAGCAATTTCTTTCTATCGTTATTTCGCTGATACAAACGTAAAGTAATATCCAGTTTCCTTCTACATTCAAATGCTGTTCGGACATCTGCCTAATCGCGTCTCTTATACGTAGTTCCATTTAAATGTACTTCATACTACAATGAGAATCTATGGCGACACCGGACAACCAGCCTTTCCGCTATGCGACATCACTGAATCGGTTGTAGCATTTCTGTTTCTAGCGGCACAACCGTCAGATATTCTCACAGTGCAAGGTGCATATCGCCTCATTTTAAATCACTATAAACTGAACTATCGTGGTTTGATATCCTGAAAAGACTTTGCAAATTATGTTATTCAACGTATAGGACGAAGTTTTCTATGTAGCATCTTCAAATACCGGTAGTTTCGTTAAAATGTTGTAAGTTTCCTTCGTTTTTCAAAACAGAATCAATGATCAGGTTAGTGTAGCGGTAACACATTAGACTTGTTTTCGGTAAGTACTCGATTCGGAACTACATTCGTGGTACTTGCCACCTCTATTTGAACTGTCTGCGTAGATAACTGCCATCTGAAGACTGGAGCACATTCATCTTCCGAAACATAAAGTTTTTATTGTAGAATATAATACGGTGGACAAAGTCCATAACACCTCTCAATACTAAATGTAACATATCATCCTTAACACTCTTTAATATTACTAAATAATGTAATAGTTTATACAATTGCTTTATGATACGAATTAATTTTCCCACATCAAATTATTATTGATTGACCTGTTTTTACATCTTAACCAAACTCGTCATTCATAAACTTTGTAACATTTCTTGTTAAACGTTATACAACGCTGACATGACGTAATAATAGTTCTATCGCTGTCCGTGTTTGTTTTCAAAATGGAATATAATTCAGGCGCTGACTCCCACAAACAACAGGAATTATTTATTGACATATTTTTTCCTCTGTACAGTTCTCTTTGATCACGTTGTAACTATATTTCATATAGACTTTGACCAATAATTTAAAAACCAATATTAAGCGTTTCTGAACACATGTCTGTACATTCACGTTTATGTATTTCTCTTACATGTATAATACGTATGACATATGTGGTCAACCCATAACTTATTATAAAATAAATTTCATCATTACCTAATAATTTGAAACTAAAACTTACTTAGAAAAGTAATTAACATTTTAATTACATTTATTTACCTCTCCTTGAATACATTTCTAAAGTTTAGGGTGTAAAACACGAAATTTAAAGGGATAAACTAATTTTGTCATATTGATAAGTTTTCTAAAAAATGTCTGTATTCGACTCGTATTAGAATGTTTTTGAATGGCAGAGGAATGTTTCTTTGAAAATGGCTACTTGTAAATGTATGATATTCTAGCGAAAAGTATTTCGTACAATTAATATCAAACGAAATAAATAAAATTGGGTGATTGAGAACTGAACTTTAGTTCCTTTACAATATAGTATAAACACAGCAGAACATTTGATGTGCTCTTTAATGGAAATGTAACATATGTTTGTACACATAAGCGATCTCAAGAAAAAATCATAATCTCTCATAGAAATGGCATTGGCTTCCAAAGTCTCCTATAGAACAAGAGTAGATCCTTCACGTAATATTACTTCTAACAGGACACAGCGTCGTTGATGTTATGATCAATTATTATGAATTGGGTTTATCAATAACTAATATACTTCCGTCCGGCTAATCACGTGTCCAATGAGTCTTGATAAATATCGAAGATTGATATTTTTTTAATCCAGCAGGCCACTATACCTCATCTATAAATATTGAATAATAATCAGAACAATATCCTACATAAATTCAAGGCAAATATTATCGCAGTAAATTTCAGGACTATTTCAATATCTGAGTTTTTATTTTCTTCACACCTCGTAAGATGGAACGATAGACATTTTTGTAGTATGAAGATTTCCGTCTTCTGGGTTGTTGCGCTGTGTAGTCTGGGCGATGTTAACCAACGTTTCAGAGGTCATACTGCCGCCGTCATCAGAGTATGAAGATTTCCGTCTTCTGGGTTGTTGCGCTGTGTAGTCTGGGCGATGTTAACCAACGTTTCAGAGGTCATACTGCCGCCGTCATCAGAGTATGAAGATTTCCGTCTTCTGGGTTGTTGCGCTGTGTAGTCTGGGCGATGTTAACCAACGTTTCAGAGGTCATACTGCCGCCGTCATCAGAG